TGCTGCCGGCCCCCCCCCCGTCGGCCTGGCACACTGTCTGGTGGCAGAGGTGGCCCAGCAGAGTGGGGGCATGAGCTGGCTTTGGCTGGTGAGGTCAAGGCTTCCCGGAGACCACTGGTGACTTTTGAGCTAGGTTTGCAAGGATGTTCCCCAGGCAAGGACAAGGGTCTGGAAATCAGACAGAAATGCTGCCCAGCACAGGTGGACTTGGAGGCTGAGCGGTCGAGGAACCGCGGGAGACAGAGGTGCCTCTCTTCCGGGTGGGGACTCCTCGCTGCTTCCATTGCACCAGCAGCCTGTGAGCCCTGCAGTCTCCGGGCTCTCTGGAAGTGGCCCCCGCCATCACCTGGCCCCACACTCATGAGCGGCCCCCCACAGACCACCCCAAGTGTCTCATGCTCAAAACAGTGCCCTTCAGTGCCCCCCCACTCTGACAGCACCCCCTCTGCTGCTTCCTTCTCCAGGCCCCGTCCATTCCCCACCCTGCTCTGCCGCCCCCCACTCTGAGCATCTTGCCTGGATGCCAGCAGCTACCTCCGTGAGTGTCCTGGGGCTGCCGTGACAGAGGACCACACACTGGATGGCTCGGAACAACACACATCTATCCCCTCCCAGGTCTGAAGGCCAGAAGCCTGATGGTGAACCCCAGCCCCGCACCTTCCGGACCTGTTTCAGCTCCTCCCTGTCCTCCTCCCAGGGCTGGGCCTCCTCTGCTCGGCTCTCCCCTCTGGGACGACAGCTCTGCTGGGATCTTCCGGCCCCTGCCAGAAATGGGGGCAGCTTGGGACCCAGGGCCCTCCCTGTACCCACAGAGTGCACAGTCCACCCCAGGCTGCCTCCACGCTGGCAGGCAATGGGGAGGACCCGCGTGGGTGGCCCTGCCTGGATGAATGCTTTGGGAAGGAGGGTTCTCCCCGTGTTCAGAAGCAGAAACCGTGACCCAGGTAGCTTCAGACTTGATTGATATTCTTCAGGCTTCTGGAAGCCCCTGGCCCGGGGGGTGGGTGGGGGAAGGGGGAGCCCATGGAGGATGTCGGCAGCCTGGGGGGGGGGGTCCGCCCCATGTCTCCAGGGCCTGTAGAAGCCCGGCAGGGTGAGGCAGGCCTGCTGGGCTGTCAGGGAAAGTAACATCCGGCCGCCACCCTCACTGAGCTGAGTCAGCTGGGCCAGGCTGGCCCCCGCAAATGGCACCATAGGGACATCGTGGGGGCGGACAGGGGCTCCGCCCAGGTGCACCAAGGTGACTCGGCCTCAAGGAGGTGTCTGGGCCTTACCCTCCTGGCGGCCAGGGTCAGAGCCTGCCGGGAGTGCAGGCTCCGCTGGCCACTGCGGCCTCTGAGCCTCAGGGGCTGTGACAAGGGTCCCAGGCAGACAAAGCACCTGGTCGATCACACTAAAGTCAGAAGAACCGAAAGCTCAGCCAGGGTCAGCTGAGGAGGGGTCCTGCCACTGGGGGCTCCTGCCTGTCAGCATCTCCTGGTGGGTGGGAGGCCCACTGACTGGGTCTGGGGTCCCTCAGGCTCCCCCACACCCCCGACGTGGCTGTGCCTCTAGAGGAAGGAAGATAGGAAGTCGTCCTGCTTTCCAGAACGTGAAGGCAGCGACCGAAGTTCAGGTGCGGCTGAAGGCCGGGTCGGCCGGCAGGGAGCCGAGGGTGGCCCACGCGGGGGGAGTGCTCTCCAGCGGAGCCCCTCAGGGTGTTGAAGGCCAGGTCAGAGGGCATGTCTCCCATGGCCGGCCCCGGGCCTCCTCCACAGCCCACCTCGTGTTGTCACCCGCGGGCACTCGGGGGCGAAGGAGCCAGGGAAGACCCGTTTGAGCAGAGGGCGGGCCAGAGGCCAGCACTATCACCAGGACAGGCTGGGTGAGGTCTGGGCTTCACCCCCCAGCCTAGCCTGGTCTTCCTGCTGGGGCAACGCCTTGCGTAGCCTGCCCAGGCCCAGGTGCCCTCTGGGAACACAAGGCACCGGGCTGACTCAGCCTGGTACCTACAGGGAGTGGGACCGCTGGCCCGTGGGTCAGGGCTCTGCTTGGCCCTGGCCCCATAAGAGCAGACTGGTCGCCACGGTGGGGCAGGTGCTGCGGATGAGGGGGCGTGTGGACACACTGAGCCGCCCGCCACAGCTGTGGACCTGGCCCTGGGTGGCTACAATTCCTAACTTACCCAAGGGAAAAACCAGAATTTTAGGTGGACTGACGGGGGCACTTCTGAAACCGCAGCTTCATGGAGGCACAGTTTACACACATACAACCAGACACTCCCAAGCAAAGGAGTTCCGAGCGAGAGCTCCTATCTCCCGCTGCCCCCAGCAGTCCCCTCTGCGGTGCAGCCTCTGGAAGCCACAACAAATCTTAAGTGTCTGGCTTCACCCCATCAAGGCTGGGACCATTCCACGGTGGGCGTGCACTCTGCTGGGACAGGGCCGAGCTGCCCCCAGAAGTTAGGGTGCAGAGGTGGGCACACCAGAGGCAGCCACCTGATTCCGCCCAAGTTTGAGCAAGCAGTCTTGTGTAGGACAGTCAGTCCAAGGAGGAAGGGAGGGTGCGGGCCGCAGAAGCCATGGGGGATAGGAGGTGGCCCTGGATGCTCACCGGAACCCTCTGAAAGAAGCATTGTGACGGCCCGGCCCAGAAGGGGGAGCCAAAGGTGAGGGGGGCCGGTAGGCCTGGCTCCAGGCAATTCAGGGGTTCAGTGGGGACAGAGGCCTGGCCCGTGCAGAGCCAGCAACCACCCAGAGCTGCTGCAAGTGCCACCTCCCCCGCTGCCCCTGGTGGCTCTATGCCTTTCCGGTGCACGCAGCAAGGCCTGAACGAACCTCAGGTGCCAGCAGAGGCCCAGACGGAGAACGGGTGCCAGGCTCCTTGGCCAGTGGAGGGCCTGCCTTCCCTGTCCTGTGACTGCCCAGGGCTGACGTTGAGGACAGCTTCGCGGACAGGCCAGGAGGCAGTGCCACAGGGGATGGTGGGGAAGGCACAGCTTCTCAGGGCTTCGAGCTGGAGTCTTGCTATCCAAATACACTTGGAACCACCAAGCACCAGGCTGAGGCCCCAGAGGCCACAGGGACCCAGCCCTGTGACGGAGCCCACCCGGGAGGTGGAGGGGTGGGTGTGGCCTGCTCACAGGATTCTTCTTAGAATCCTGCAGGGAAACAAAACCCAGGGCCTCCAGAGACAGCCACAAGCCAGACACCCCTCCCGCTGTCCATCTGTGCTGGTCTGACAAGAAAACACGCCTGGGGCCGCCTCCACCATGCATGTGACCGCCGACAGGCAGAACGCCCAATTTTCCCTCCCACTGACCCCAGGTGCCCAGATGCTCTCTCCAGCTTCCCAGTTAGCTCAGACTCCGAAGGTAGCGCTGTGTATGTGAGCGCGCAAGTGCGTACCCACACGGGGCTGGCTGTGACCTGCTCCTAAGCACCACACTCTCAGGGGTATGCCCCAGAGGCACACGGACACCCGTCCTTGGCCGCCCCACATCCGCCATGAGCAGGTGGGCACTGACTCGGCTGGTCTCCGAGGGAAGCGATGGGCTCCCCCTACCCTGTCATCCCAAACCGCCAAAGCACACACTGGGCACGTGCTCCGCACACATGTACAGTGTGGACTCCCGGCCCAGGTAATGCACACCAACTTCTGGTGAAGCCCTAGCAACTGCCGGCCAGAGAAGGCTCTAACAGAGTTTGCCCCCCGGCCCGTCTCCTTGGCTCCCATCACCCGGCGCTGTGCCCATCAGAGGGGGCTCTTCTCACGTGCCCCACGTTTCTTCAGCGAGGCCCAGCAGTCTCCAGGCTGAGCGGTGCTGGTGCTTCACAGTGAACGTGGGGGCCGTCACCCACTGAGGGTGAGGAGCCAGCAGGAGAGGAAAGATCACGTTCGGAGTGACCCCTGAGCCAGCAGGATGGGTCCTCCCAGAGTTGAAACCGTCCCCACAAACTTCCTGTAAAGTACCCAAGCACATGATTTTGTGCAATCACTGCTCATCCTGTAGTTACTCGTGAGCCACGGTTTATAAACAGCTTCATTCCGGACGCTCCAGGGAAACAGGACATGTGGAGAACTTGGGGAGCCCCTGACCAGTCTGGGTCCACAGGGATGAGCAGCTGCCCTGGAGGTCCGGGGGCTCATCCTCGAGAGGTGCTCCCAGCGCGCACCGTCACCTCTGCAGACTGCCCTCCGGGGATGGGGTTCTCGATCTGTGTCAGCAGGAAGAAGGCAGGCCTGGCACCCACAGGCTTCTCGGGTGGGGGGTGGGGGGCCAGGCCCACGGGGGGGGTTCACCCACAGGTACTTCAAGAACCGAGAACATTCTGGTTCTAGTTGGCTGGGGCACGCTGGAAGCAGGGCTATTCCTAAACCTTGTGCAGCACTTCCTGCTCCTTCTCGTGGCCACTCCCAGGGAGAACCAGGCCCCCCAGACAGGCACCTGGCGAGCTGGGCACCGGCGGCTGGGCCGCGGGAGGAGCAGCTGTGTGCTTGCCTTCTCCTGGTGCCTGTACCGCCCCCCCACCCCCGGCCAGGTACCGTGCACAGGGCTTGTGCAACAAGTGTCTCGGTGGGGGGGGGGGCGCTCCCCTCTTAGCAAGGAATGGAGGTTCCACCAGAAAAGTGGCCTTTATGCAGCAATTTTCCCTCCTGGAACCTTCTGGATCTGGGAGGTACAGCCCCACAAACTCTTGAGAAATGGCGCACTCCTGGGGGAGAGCAGCCTCTTTCCTGAGGTAGCAAAGGGCCCAACCCGGGGGCCCCAAGCCCACCCTGACAGTGAAGTGGGTCTGCAGGCCTAACAGGCAAACTAAATGTAGCCGCCTCCTAAGAACCGGCTGACACGGAAAAGCAGAGGCCTGAAGCCCGGGTCTGCCCATCCGCAGGACTCTACATGTACAGTTCAAGAGGACACGCAACCACAGCCCAGAGCTGCCGGGTGGGGGCAGGTGCCAATGCCCCCACCCGATCCTCCCACCAGGTCCTCCCACAGAGAGACTGTGCACAGAGCTGGGTTCATGTTTCACAACTTTAATAGAATATTCTAACTATTCTGTACAAATTGAAAACACTGTATTCAGTTACAAATGTGTTATAAGTAAGGCTGAGCACTCTACAGGCCTGGACACAGTGTGGACACAGCAACCCCGGCTGCCAGAGACTGTGGTCACACACTCAGAAACCCCACACGCCAGCCAAGAACAGGTGGCTCTGAACCCAGGGCTTTTAAGACAAGATGAGCACGGGGCCAAGAAATGGGGGTACTGAGAAAGCAAGACTCGACGTGTCCACACTAGAAGGAGAGTAGTGCTTCCCAGCCCTGGCCCCTCACCACAGAAGCCTGGCAAACCCCAGCACTCGGCCCACAACCCCGCACCCCACCCCCAAAGCCGGGTGGTCTGTATGTCGTGAAAACGAGCTCCTGCCCTCAGCCGTGGGCAGGACGGAGCGAGGTTCCTTCTCCACAGGCCTCACTCCCTTGGGAGCCACCACCACTCCTGCCTGGCAAGTCACCAGGTCACACACATGGTTTCAGAAAGTGTAAGGACAAGTGACAGCATGCGTCCCAAGCCCTCACCAGCAGGGAAGAATAAATAAATACGAAGATGAACCACAAACACTCACGCCTCAGGGCTGGGGTGCACCACAACCCCTACCCCACCCTGAGGAAGACAGAACCAGAGAAAGAACGCTCTAAAGAGAACAGGACCCTACTCTACGCAGCTCTTCCGAGACCGTTAGAGCACAGGAGACCACGTGGTAGGAGACACAAAGCGCGTGGGTTTCTTCAAGCGAAGGCAGAGTCCAGTCCGACTGTGGAGGGATGTGACTGGTTCTACGTGCCCCGGAACCACATCCCAAGACATCTGCCCTTGGCATTGACTGACCTTCTACCGCCCCCTCCCCCTGGGGTCTATGGGGCCCTCCTGAAGGCCGGACCTGGGAAAGTCCACTGAGCTGCACCCAAGGCCGTAGAGGGTGCTGGAATCAAACCTCCTATTTCTGAAATGCATTTAAGTTGCCACTGTACAGGTTAAGCAAAATAATAAGGATAAAGGAAAAGTTAAAGTCAAAATCATGCACTCGAGAACAAGTTAGAAGGAAGCACTGCCCATACGGTGGCGCGGCCGCCACGTGTCCCGACGCCACACCTGCGGGGTGCTCGCTCCTCACTGCTGTTTGCACTCGGACGGCTGGCTGGGCTCCTTCTGTCAACGAGAGAAGACAGGACTTGTAGGGAACCAACGTCATCAAGCTGGTACCTCCAACCAACAATGCAAACCTAGACTCAATTTACTGCCTTCCTTCTTACTGAAAAAATGGTTACTGCAAACATACTTTTACAAGAGTAACAACAAGTCACTCAGCTTCCCAGAAACAAAGTCTCAGTGGGGCTGCCTTTCTTGTTCGGAGACATGCCCAGGAGTGTTAAGTCACAGGCCAGGCACTGGGAAGCAGGAGCGCCTCAGGGGCACAGACTCATCCGTGTCGGGAGCCCGCGCTCCAAAGCCGCACCACAGCCTCAGAGCCTCGGGCAACCCCCCAACCCTGCCCACGTGACACAGCAGCCGCTCCCCTTTCTGTGCCCTGCCACCCCTAAGGCAGGCTCCGCACCTGAAATGAAGAGGCGGCACTGCAGGGTGGGCCAGAGGCGGCCGAGCAGCCCCGCCGGCCCTGGGCCAGGCCTCCAGAGTGCTCTCTGTTCGTGGGATGCACCAGCAGCCCACAGCAAGGTGGGGGCGGGGGGTGAGGCCACACCAACAGCTCCACACATAGCCTCGGACCTCCCCAGGCCCCTCCCGAAGTGGGCAGTCTGTCCTTCCGGAGAGGTAGCAGGGAGAGACCACGCCCCCCCGACAGAGGCGCACATTCACTTCAGTGCAATCGAACACAGCTCACACCGTTTAAAGCACATCCGGCAGCCCCACGCATTCTGTGTGGAGGCCAGCAACAGCCTGAGAGACAGACACTACCAGACCACGAATCTTTCCCGGCAAATACGTTTACTAATCAGTGGCCTCTAATTCTTGGCTGCCAAGATTACAAATTACTCTCATACAATCTGGGCAAGCCTACAGAGTCTAAACAAAAACCTCAAACATCGCGGATGATGTAACACAATACCTTCTATGGTTGAGGCTGGGACTCCATTCTTTGGGAAATCACATTTAAGGTATGAAAACAATGTGTTAAGGACGCATAAAAACAAAACCATCATCTTGGACCCTGGTCTAAGCTCTTCATTTGAAAGTCTCATGGAAAGAGCACAAGGACGCGGCCGGGAGCCCCCAGGTCTCTGCCCAGCAGCAGACCACTCTGGGAGAGGGTCCTGGCCTTGGTGTCACGTGCTCATCTAAAATACTGCTAGAGAACCCAGGCCCCCAAACAAAACACGTCTGATAAAAAATCCAGGCAGGAAAAGATCAAAATCAAACTGTGCATCTGGAGGCAGCTCAGGCTGGTGGCCAAGGCAAGGAGCCACTGGCTGTCAGGAGTGGCTGGGGAAGGCGGGAGGAGGCCCCAGCCCGTGTGGCCATGGCAGCAGGGGGACGGGGGGGAGCAGGCAGCTTTTTGAGGGTGAGGGGAGAGATGCGTTGTGTTTCCACAACTGTATTTGCAAAAAGGAAGTGGGTTAGAGAAGCTGGAGCTAAGGAAGTCCTGTAGGGTGACGTGGTGGCAACGGGGCAGGTGGCACAGGACGGGGCTCCTCCTGCAACACCCTTCCATATGCGGATGAGTTACACACACAGCGTTTCGCAAAATCGGGCGTGACACGATTTACAATACGCTGTCTGAATCATTTCATATGCTTATTTTTAACCAGGAGAACATGTTACCCGTTTGTTTAAAGTACGTTCAGTAGCCTGGGGGATAAAGCCTGCTGGAGGCAACGGGGCCTGAGAGCTCCCCAGGCAGGCAGGCAGGCAGGCAAGCGGCCCCACCTCTGGGGACAGCATCCGCATGGACACAAGTCCTAGGCTGTAAAGTCAACACAGAACCCCGAAGCCTCTGACGTGAATTTTATCAACAAGACACCACTGGTTTTCAGCCTGTGACACAAGCCAAAACAGGACTACAACTATGCCCCGGCATCCTTGGTCTCAGGCCACCAAGTCTGATGGCAGCCTGGTCACTCAATACCCCTGAGTATCACGGGAGAGGAGTGGGGTGTTTCCAAGGCACAAACTAACAGCCCATATCCTGCCTGTCATGGAGCCATTTAAAAGCCAAGTTTTAACAGAGGACAACTGCCCAAGAAGGGGGGAAAACAAGCCACCAAGCACACAGCTGGCCACCACAGCTTCCCAGGGGCACACAGCCGGGGACCAAGGGCCTGCGTGACCACAGAGGGAACCCCTGCACTGGAGCGGCTGGGCCCCTGACAAGGATCTGATGACACTACTGAGGGGCTACAGTGCCATGTTGCTCACGGTGGCTACGCCACAGGAGGGTCCCCCTGTCCTAGAAACACGGGCTGAACAGGTTAGGGATGCTTCCCCGTGACTAGCAGGGTGGGAGAGTGGGGCTTGCGGGGAACATTCTTCAGACAAGTGGGACAGCGGGAATCAAGAGTAATCGAACACACGGTTGTGTTCACACGTCAATGATCAGCCCCGGCTCCTTAAACACAGGATCCACGGTGTCTATTCGTCTCCCCTCGTTACGATGCTGCCTTGCCAGGAGGCAGCCGTACTACCACTTAGTTCTCTATGAGAGCGAGCCCGCAAGAGCCAGACAGGAAGGCCACGTGGAGACTCTCCAACGCCTGCAGTCTGCACGACCATCAGCACCAGCACGCCGGCCACGGCGGTAAGCTCAGGCTCCAGCTCTCACGGGCCCTGCTCTACGCACCGGCTGAGGCTGCTCAGCACAGCCCCCGGAACCCCCTGCCATTTCCCAGGGATGAACATCACGGCACCTGCCTCCCGTGGCATCTTCTCACCACTGCCCCCTGGCCCCCAGGAGGACAGCGTCCCACAAGGGAGGGAGCTGATCGCTGGAACGGAGTTGCAATGGCCCACGCCTTGGGGGGGGGCAGGGGTGATGGGTGGGCAGCACCCAGCTCTATCCCCACCTGGTCAGAGCACCCCAACGACGCACAGGACCACACCACACAGACACCGCAGCTTTTGGGACACTAACTCCAGCACATTCAAAGTTCAGGTAGGGCTTTATGACCTACCGGTCTGCACCACACCTGAATTTAAAAAGTAGAAACAATTGACAGAGACACGTCAAGAAACGGCACAGCGGCTGCTTCCAACCGCACAGGGTGCAGCTGATCCCAGCACGGCCCCCACAACACAGTCTTCATGAAGGCCACACAGTGCCCACCTCCCAGGCCCCTTGCACTCTGTGCTCTTCCTGGAGGGCAGGCCCGTCCCCAATAAAAATGCCACACCAGTCACACCTTTGACTCGGTCAGCAACAAACACTAGGCTCAGGAAGCGGGAGCCTAAAATGTAGTTTCTGATGCTCAGTTTTAGAAGTACACACAACGGACACCTGCACGAAACTACTATTCTTCTGAAAGCCACGTGCTCAGCCTAGCACATGCAGAGTGTGCCTGCCCAGCAGCCTCCCCTCTGTCCACCAAGTCACAATAAGGCACTGTTAAAAATCACAGATCGGAAGATTGGATTAGGAATGAATGGAATTCCACCTTACCTAAAAATGCATGAATAACAGACAAAAATTACACCTAAATGGGGAAAAAATTGAAAGGAAGTGTCAGCATGAAAGAAAACAAAATGCACAAAATTATACAGGCAGAAACAGCCACTTTCTCATGACAAAAAGGGCTACAAATTCTCGAGCCTGAGATGAGCAACCCCAACCCACCACACATCTATACGTTTAATACCAAAAAATCCTTCCTCCCTCGTTTGCCTCCTTGTGCGCAGACTCTGACATGACCAATCCCTCCGAAGGATGAGACTCGGGCCCTTCTGGCTGCGCAGGGCTGGCGGTCCTCGCGCCTCCCACCAGCGACCCATCTATCAGCCCCACCTCCCCCCACCGACAGCACACACGAAGACCCAGGGAGCGCCGGTCCGGACAACCCTCTACGGTGCCGGACGACTTGTGAGAGAATGCGCTTCCAGAAAACAGATGTGTCAGGAAACAGAAAAGGACAAACAACAGAAGGCAGCGACAAGGGACGGAGTGACGGAGCTCCCACCGCAAACTGCCCTCGGTCTGCTCTAGGACCCAAACCGTGAATAGCTCCCACCGCAAACCGCCCTCGGTCTGCTCTGGAATCCAAACCGTTGAGTGTGCCTGTCGGCAGCCCCCAGCTGCCCAGGGCGAGCCACCTGAGCCAGGGACCCCGTGTCACGGAGCCGAGCACAGGGATGCCTGCCCCACAGGCCCCCCATGCTGGACAGGCCGACTGTGCAGAGGTGAGCACTTCTGTGAGCTTAGTCCCGAGGAGTATTTATATGGTACGTTTTAAGTTTGAAACCCACCTCCCATTCTTCTCTAGAAGGAGCCGAACTATAAATAAAGCATGCATTTACAGAAACATTCGGTGTTAAAAAACAAACAAACAAACAAAAACAGAGCTGGGTTATTACACTCACATTTAGTGCACATTCCACTTGGGGCAAAAACGGAGGGCAGACAAACACACACTTGTCTAGTTAAACTGAGATCCAGGTCACACACGGCAGGGGAGGTCAGTGCTCTGACAGCCCACGACGACGCAGTGAGCTACAGACTTCACACTCGCAAACAAGAGGGCGGCCTCCTACAGCCCGAGGACTGCATTAAAGCAGCTCTGGATTTAAGGGATGTGTCAGGTGACCAAGTGCCTTCATTTAAGCTGATCTGCCATCAGTAAACATTCAGACCTTCAGATAAAATTAATGGGGTTGCCCATTCTCCTCAGTTTTTGTTTGTTTTTGTTTTCTTAAAGCTTCCTACTTCACTTTCAATGACTGGAGATATTAGACGTAGCTTCCGAATATTCTCAGCCCAAAAGCAATTGTAAAACTGTCTCCAGTTTTATTACTCTATTCATTAAAAAAATAACCCCCCAAATTTACTTCTTTATACCTTTTCCAAAAATAAACAGAAGACACGGCTCCTTCATGTCGTCATCCACCCCTTCCCCCGAAAGGACTAAAGGTGTGGAGAGAAAGCCGCTCTCCTGGACGCGCTCACGAGCGAGCCGGGAAAGCCTCCGCCGGCTGCACACTGGGCACTGAGTCCTACAGAGGGGTGGCTTGAGCCCGTCCCCGGCCCGTTCTCCGTGCTCGGACGAGAGCAGGACGGGCGCTGCCAGGCGGGGACGCAGCCTGTGGCAGGGGCACGGCACTCCCGGGGGGGGGGCAGCCCCCCAAGACTGACCTTAGGGTTAACGTCGGCGTCGTCCTCGTCCTCCCCCTCCTCGTCGCCTTCCAATTCCTGCAAAAGGGTGAAAGCGAGCTCAACACACAACAGAAACCCCTGCAGAGCCGCCCCGGGCTCCAGCGGAAAAGCAGCGATCACCGTCCGCACGTGAGCGGGCCCCTCCTGGGCACAGTGGTCCGTGCGCTCCTCTTTGTTCTCAGTGGTAACGGACATAAACGCGATGCTGAAAACGCGACCTGTTTGTTCAACCGACATTCCCTCAGCCGGTTTTCACAGGCCGACCGCAGGGTCAACAACGGGACTCAGGGACAGCACCTGCCGTATCCTGCGCCCCCCCCCCCCCCCCCCCCCCCCCCCCCCCCCCCCCCCCCCCGTTTCAACAGCGTGGAGGCCCTGAGGCAGCTCCACACAAACCGAGCATGACGGGCGGCCCATCCGCTCTAGCAGAGGCAGCCTAGCGGGGCCTCAGGGGAAGGACTCTCCACGTCTGCCGTGTCTTACCTCCTCCTCTCCTTCCTCACCCTCTTCAAACTGAAAAAGGAAAAAGGAAACAAGATTAGGTCTCGAAAGCAGGAGGGCAGCCTGACCCAGGCATGGTCCCTGTCAAGCACCCTACACCGGTCAGGCCTGGGGGCCGTAGAATTGCAGCCTGGCCTCTGGGCAGAGGGCAGCACCCGCTCCAGGCCCGTCTGGGGGCGGGGGGGGGGGGGGCGCCATGGTCGGCCACTGGGCTCCTCGGCCCCAACACTGTGGGCCGGGCTGGGGCCAGCGCTGCAGGGCCGCCTGTTCGAGAGCCCCGCTGTGTTGATAGGACGCCAGGTACCTGCAAACCACACAAAACAAGGCCTGAGGATGGGGAAGGGTGCAGAAAGGAGATGGTCAGCATGAGAACGTACTGAGACCACCTGGGAAACTGGCTGATCTAAATAAACCAGGAGCATGATTTTACTATGCAGATACGTGAATTTCAATGGTATTTTTTTAACTCATACAAGGGTAAATATTTACACATTAGAAATGTGATAAAACTTTGGTGTTTAAATGTATAGAAGAAAAGCCCAACACTACGGTCAGCTGGTCTTGAATGAATTTCCTCAAGGTCCAAAGACATCACAGGTCAGACTCACACTCAAACTCCACCTATCAGACTCAGATCAAGACCAAACACAAAACAAACCTCATCACTACCGCCTGCATGACACAGGAGACCTAAAGATTTACTACACTTTTCTGAAGAACGTTTTTCTTATTGGAGCCCACACATATACTCCTTCGTGACAGCTCACACAAAACTTGTGCGGGCCTGAGGGCTGGTGGGGCCCAGCATGCGCGCCCTCTCGCACCAGCTGGGCCGTCAGGGCCCAAGCACACCCCAGTGCCCTTTCCAGCCTCTGACAGGGAAAGACCTAGGCAAATCTTGTCTTGCAGCCAATCACATTTTAGCTCAGACTGAACTAGCCTCAACCAGGCTCAAGCGCAGATTTTCTGAGGTTCTCAGATCATTTCACTCTGGACCTGGAGGGTCCTGTGGCAAACAGATCTCACACTGATGTACAACAGGGGTCGCTAAGTCGGGGTACAGAGCCTGTGGGACACGCAAGCCGAGCCGAGAGAATATGGAAGACAGAACCAGCACCCCCGGCTCCATTTCCTTCTACAACGACGTGTAGTGCTTGTGCAGGTTTCCAACGCATCAGCCCCTGCAAATTTACCTCTATGCCAAGGCGCACTAAGTAATGGTGCCAACAGGTGTTCTCCGAAAAGCCTGACAAGCCATCAGAGTCACTACAGCCGTGAGTGGTGAAGTCAAGACCCTGGTCTCAGCAGGCCTAAGTGGGGTGCCCCCTCGTAACCCCTCAACGACACTGCTGGGCAGCAGCACCTGCATCGGAGGTGTTGGGCGTGGACACATATAGACAGAGGACACACAGAGGACACGCAGAGCACTGCACCGCTCACCAGTACTATCCACTCACTCTGCCTGTATCTTAAGTAAATAAATATATATAAACTGCACAGTCACATTTTAAAACTGATGGGCGTATGATCAAAAAAGTGTGGAGGGAAGACCGCTGGTCTAGAGATGCGCTTTCCAGTGTGTGTAGTCACTAGATTTTTGGGGCTACATTAAATAAAGCGGAACCATGCAGTTCCACAGCTGTCAACAGATTCATTCTACATCTTCGAACGTCACGTGGGGCCAGTCCCACCACACTGGACAGAGCAGGCCAAGGACAGCTCCGCCACCCCAGACCGTGCTGGCGTACAGTCTGCCGTGCCGACGTAAGCCTTAGCAATCACCTGAGTGCTCGGACGAGCCAACACTACGCTGACGTGTGTGCTGCATGTTCTCCTGCCCACAACCCCCTCCCGGCCCAGGGATGGACGAACAGCCTTTCCGAAGCGAACGAGTCTCAGACTACACAGCTCACACACATTGGACAGGCCATGCCCCGGGGCTGGGACCATCAGCACAGAAAACGTGAGAAGCAGGCATTCATTGCTCTGGCCGCTAAGCAGCTCAAACCTGCCCAGCTCCTGCTGCCCATCTGAAACCTCAACAGACCGCTTAGAAAGGAAACCTAGAACCACCCAGGAAACCTAAGAGCTCTAAAAGCAAGGGAATAAGTATCTGAAACATACTACTAACTGCACACTATAAAACAAAACTTTATTCCCACAAATCAAGACGACACAGTGAGCCGAGCCTGGGTTATGATGGAGAACTACCTCGGGTGACCGTCAAAGGACAGCTAGGGAGGCTGCGCTCAAGCAGGGAGGGAGGTGGGGGAGAGAGAAAAAGGGGCCTGCGCAGCCTGGCCACCCCTCTGTGCACCATGGGTATCAAGTCTTTGGCACCGGCACACCACAGGCTAAGAGGAGTCAGCTCTGTAGATAACCTCTTGCTGTGATCAGACCTCTGAAAAGGAGATTTTTTTCCTCACGTTTCCAAGTCACCCAAAGCTTACAGACTTTAAGCAGGACAAGGTGAGCACCTGGGGCCTTTCAAGGATGCTGTCTGTGGACGGGGCTGGCACTCTGCTGCTCCAAGAGCACCCAGAGCCCTGCTCGGCCCCCACCCCCAACACTAAGGGTCCCCCAAGCTGCTGCTCAGGGCGCCCCACACCGCCAGAGGCAGGCCCCCAAGGGCTCCCACCCACATACGTTGTCGTCATCCTCTATGGCCTCCCCTGTGAAGTAGAGCACGGCCCGCGGGACTATCCGCTCACGAAAGAAGTGTCCGATTTCAAAGTCAGAGGCTAATGTGAATTCCGAGTCTTCATCCTGAAAAGGGAAAACATCAATGTTAACTCACGTATACGGGTGAGCGCTACGCCCCCCACCCGCACCGCGCCCCTCGCTCCGGGGGACCCAGCACTGCTGGGGATGGTGGGGTGCTCTGGCCCCGCCCCGCGGTGTCGTGAACACAGTGCACCCCGGGCCTCAGGGAGGAGGGAGGGACTGAAAAGAAGGTAGGCCACTACGCTGAAGATACAGAATGTGACAGCACGAGGGACCCGACGACAACACAAAGCTTACCAGTGACTCTCCATCCCCAGACGCTAGGGAAAAAGACAAAACATACGCATGTTATGCTGACAACCAAAGCCTTTGCAAGCGCACGCGGGCAGCTCCGAGGACAGGGAGGGTGGAACAGGGCACATCTGGAGCCCTGTGCCTCCCGCGGTGCCCTGGCCGCCCGCCCCTGCCTGACCTGCTTGGGAACGCCAACTGGGGAGAAGCTCTTCCTAGTTTAGTGTTAACACGTGGAAAGGCCTATCCAGGGGCCCCAGACTGCGGCCACTCGGTGCATTTACGCCTTCCGGAGAGTGAACCAGCGCCTGCAACCTGCACGACTCTGCAGGGAAAAGGACAATCGCCAAGCCTCGTGTCTGAAGCACTGCACCTCGGCGGGGCAACAGCGGCTGTGTCCACGTGCAGAGGAGGAAGGGGAGGACACAGTGCTGAAGCGTCCTTCCCACGAAATGGAAAGACTCCCTGTGGGCAGGAGGGTGCTGCTGGTCGCTGCCCACCACAGAGCACCGCACGGCTCGCCGAGGGGCAGCTCCACACACATGTGCACGTGGGACACACACATGCGCATGCGCGCGCGCACACGGCTACCGAGATTGCTGCTGCACCGGAGCCTGACCCAGAACCAAGGTGACAGGAAAGATGGGGACTTACAACCACTCAACAAAGCCCAGTGACACTCCAATGATCACCTGACTCAAACCCCAGACTTTAGAGATGCTTGTTCAAGGCCCGGTCTTGCCAGGAGCTGGAAGCTTATGGCGCTGGCCGCATCCTGCCTCTCGGGGCCTCTCCCAGCTTGCAGTTCCCCATGGGCTGGGCACCCGCGTGTCAACACCACCCCTATGACACTGTCCCCGAGTCTTGGCACGTGAGCACCCCCCACGGGCTAAGATTTGGGTCTGGGGACTTTGGCCAGGGACTCTGCTCATGTGACTTTGGGACATGTTTTGTAGACTGAAGGACAAGGAGGGCACCGGACCAGCCAGCTTATGTTTCCTTCATTTCAAAACATGTTACCTCAATTCCGACATTTTTTCCTTGCCTGCCCCATCACCGCCCCATGGTCACTTTCTATTTGTTTACAGAACTCATCACTTGATATTATGTGTGATTACTTTAAAAGAGCTACGTTTACATGCAATTCATCTACCAGAGAACTGAAGTGTATAATTCAATAACCTCTGGGACATTTTTAGAGCTGGACAACCATCACAGAGCAGTTTTAGAACCCCAAACGTCACCCCCCCCCAAATTCGGAGTCCACTTAATTTCATTTTGATTTTATTAAATTACTTAAAATCCAATCTTAAGAAACCTTCCAACAAAGCCACTGCATTTAGGAACCAAAGCCCCTCTGCTTCACATTGAATTCCTGCAAGTGACTGCCAAAGGGAATTCTCTAAAACAAGGAAACTGAACAACCACATCATGGCTATTGTTAGCCCAGACCAATACACATCTGCATCCTCTAGGCTCAAAGACAAATCACAGAAAGATATGGGGCCGAAGGGCAGAGCTTGAGAAGCGAGGGCCCTCGGCTCAGAGACAAAGTTCTGGTCCAAGGCTCACACTTGAGAGTGGAGCCACCCTGTGGCCGAGGGCGAACAGCTCACACACCCACCAATTACCTGTGGCATGGACGGGCAGTTCTAGATTTCAATCTAGAACTGTTTGTGTTCATGGAACAGAAAATGCTTTATCCTGACTATCCTAACACTGCCAACCGGCCTGGCCTCCGCATTCTCTCAGGTTTAGAAAATTTTAAGACTTGCCAGTATTTGGGACGCCTGGGTGTGGCTCAGTCAGTTGAGCGTCTGCCTTCAGCTCAGGTCATGACCCCAGGGTCCTGGGATCAAGTCCCACATGGGGCTCCTTGCTCAGCGGGGAGTCTGCTTCTCCCTCTGCCTCTACCTCTCCCCCCTTCTCGTTCTCTCTCTCAAATAAATAAGATCTTTAAGAGAAAAAAAAAGACGTGCCAGTATTTACTCTCAAAACCTGTTGCTCACCCTCCACGAGGTCAAACTTTCCATCTTTATTTTATGACTTAAGGGGGAAAAAAAAAAATCGAAGTTTCCAAGCTAAGTCTTTTAAAACTGGAAATCCAATTACTTGTGTTGTCATGCTATATCAACTCCCAAGCCCCTTAAGTTCTACCAAGTCATGGAGAAAAACAAAGCTGAATTTATGAGAAAGAGAGGTTGGGGGATGCTCCCCAAGCTGCACAGGTGTAACCGGAGTACAACCAGCCACAGAGGGGGCCTGCAGCAGGACGGGCGGCCCGAGGGACGTCAGCAGGCCCCAGCAGTGAGGTGCGGAAGCGCCGGCTGGGGGCACTCCTGGCATCACTCCAGCTTTCTCACCGTGGAGCTCAGAGAGCCCGCCAAGCCTTCCCCTCCTGCTACAAGGAGGACCCACTACCCCTACCACCCCCGCACCCTGTGAGCACCAGCATCACGGCTCCTGGCACAGCAACCGTGTCCTTACTGGCCACTCTTGCCAGAGGACCCAGACCGGACTCAGGGTAACAAAGTGACTTCGCGTAGTACATAATCAACGTCCACAACACAACCTACTCACCTTTCAGCGGGCTGAAAAAGTTGAAAAACGAGTCGTTGGGAACTTGTTTGGTAATTGTTCTCACTGTGCCTCGGCCCTTATGTTTCTGCTTCTTCTTGATTGTTTTGACTGTAACATTTTTCCCTTTCTTCCAGTCAATAGCACACCTACAGGGACAGATGGCCATCACGCACACAGACATATGCCCTGAAAAGCACCACGAACATCCACGGTAAACAAGGCACAGCTAGAGGCTGAACTTGGACGACATAGGCAAACCAGGCTGCCAGCCAGCACCGCACACCTATGAAGTCCATGTGACGGCCAGCGAAAGGGAACAGGCCAAGCGGCCTGGGCTGCCACGGCACCATCTGAAGCCCGGGTCTTCTCCCCTGAGGAACCCCCTTCCCCACCCCCGCCAAGTATGTTTGCTGTGACCAAGCCCAGTCGAGGCTGGGTCAAGGTGCCCAGAGGATGCACAAGAGCTTGTCACCTGCTGCCTTCGTCCAGACCCCAGAGCACACCTGAAGTCACCCACTCACGCACCCAAATTCTCAAGGCAGCTAAGCAAGCAGGACAAGGTGAAGAGGCGGAAGGGGACCGCTGCACGAAGTACTGATGGGGGCGGAGCACACTGGGTCCGGGCTGCCGAGTGGGCCCGGCTGGGGGGCGAACCCCGCAGGTTTGCTCATCTTTCAATTGCTGCGGACCCACACGGATCCCCTGGCAGCACGTGACTAGCGTCTGCTCGGGAACATGCCTGGAAAGGCCGGCCTACTTCCCACACGACAGCCTGGCCCTGGGAAATGCGCTCTCAGAGTCACTCTCGCCATTCAAGTCTAGCTGGGTTTTAATAAAGCTCCAAACTGCTCATACGCAAGATTCAGAAGTACTTGGTTCCAGTGAGTAAGGGTAATTGTGCCAGTTCAAAAACAATTTCCCAAACCAAAAAACCACAATTTCCCAAACCATCTCAAACAAACCAAGAGGAAAGAACTCCAAACCACATTCTCTCCCTAGTGATCTCACCTGAAATCACCAAGGTGCTCCATCATGAGTCCAACAATTAAACTGCCTCCCCAATTTCCAAAGCAAGCAACTGACCAGTACCGCCCTGCCCCGACTCATCCGTTCACTCAGCAAATATTTGCGGAGGGTCGTTTATCAGCTCAGCGAGGACAGCGTCATGCAAGGGACCTAGAGAACCCAATCCCTCCATCTGATGAGGAGACCGGGCCACCAGCCCCCACTTGGCACATGTGACCTCATGACACATTTCCCAGTGCAGGCCATCACAACCCCCCACAGAAAGACTATTTAATGTAAATCTTGGTCTACTGGGATTTTAAGGAGATTAAAGACATTTTGTTTGATTCCTGATTTCTCTTACTCGTTAAGTTCTAAAATCATCCGTTTTTCTTTCAGAAATAGAAGGTGAAATGGCGAGTCCTTACCCGTCACAGTCAACTATTTCAGGACCTTCGAAGGAAAAGGGATCGGCCTTATCCGGCTCTGACTTCATCTTGTATGTTTTTGTCAGGACTGAATTGGTAAAGTAGTCGTTGGGTTCAAAGTGGAACTCTAATACAAAAGACTGAAAACAAAAACTCAGGTAAGTACCACTTAAAAATCTACAAGCAACCAGTGACAGACTTCACGAACCCCCACAGTACGTACTGGAGACCAGTGCCTCTCTGAGCGGGACGCCATAGACAGAAACCGTTATGGAAAAGTTCAACAGGTATGGCCACATGTCAAGAAAAACTTGATTACAAAAAACAGCAGCACCCAGTTCAAACACAAACGACAAGTGGGGGAATACCTGTGGCGCTTCAGCCCGAGCAGGGAGCACGTGACCCTCTGAGCCCCCTCCCCAGGAGAGGTCGAAGCTCTCCTGAGAAACCCTAGCTTCTCTCTGCCGCCCCGGGCTCACCCCGGCGGAGCTGGAGGGTCTGGACTAGGGGACACCAGGCAGCAGGGTCCAGCCCGCCCCTCCTTCTGCACTTGCATTCAGACAGAGCACCGCCTTCTCTGCCGCACAAAGGGGCCAGACTCTGCGAGGGTGGGGAGCACTGCCTGGGCCTCCCCAAACCACACCAAGGAAGGACAAGTTCATCCTTTGTTCACAAAGCACTGTGTAATCTGAAGAGCCAAGCTTAAGAGGAAAAATGGACACAGGGTGTGTACATAGCAGCAGACACAAATAAAGTCAAGTGGCAGTAAGAAGGAGTCTTGCTTTCTTCTTACCAATGTATGAATAATATGTAGAACTGGCAAGTGTTTTGGGAAATCAGGTCCACTCATATACTGTAAAAAGCTTTATAAAGGACCATCTGGCAAGATCAAAAAATTAAAGTAAAATAAAATTCTCTGACCTGGTAACTCTACTCAGAGGAATTTATTGTTTGGGAAAAGACACCTGGGTGATGCATCATCAGTATGTGCAAAGATGCTCACCTCAGCCCTATTTTAAGGAAGAAAAGAGGACGTTGGTTAAGTTATAGTGATACTTTTATAAGACTAACTCTGGGTTCACATCACTTCTGCCTGTAGGTGCTGCGTGATCTTGTCAAATCACTCTGTCTCTGCTGCTGTTTCCTCATCTATAAAGTGGAAAGCACAATCCTCTCTCTCCCTGAGCTGACTAAAGGATTGACCTATGGAAGCACTTAGAACAGGGTTTATACAGGCTTACAGGCAATGCTTGCTAAACGTTAACTATTTCAATTTTCATTATAATGTATAAGGGTACAATTATCAATTGGGAAAAATAGATTAAATAGATTAAAACCAAACTACTTCCACTAAGGGGGAAGTGGAAACCAGACCGTGAAGAGCTCGAGTCCCCTGCAAGCTCAGCAACAGCACCCCACACAACCCCCTCTCCGCTCCTTGCCCAACCCCCAGGGCTACACCCACCCACCGCGAAGACAGAAGCAAGTGTTCAGTCAGTGAAGAGGCCGCTATGATCCCAGAACCACTGCAGGCTGCGACCGCAAGAGTGGGCAGGCACCCTGCGGGCCAGGGAGGGCTCACGAGCATCACTGGGGGCCCCGCCTCACTCCCTACGCTGGCACGGATCACACTACTCCTCTATCTCCCACCTCCTGCCCTACCAGCTCTCCAGACCAAGTATGAGATCTCCTTTCTTCATGTTTTCCTATCCTTTCCTTCCCCATGGCTTCTGTTTAGTCTAGTGTAACACGTGACTGGGGATGAATCAAGAAAGGGTTTAAGGGGCGCCTGGATGGCTGTCGTTAAGCGTCTCCTTGGGTCATGATCCCAGGGTCCTGGGATCCAGTCCTGCATTGGGCTCCCTGCTCCGAGGGCAGCCTGCTTCTCTCTCTGCCCCACCCCCCAGCTCCTGCTCACTGTCTGAAATAAGTAAAATCTTTAAAAAAGAGAGAGACAGGGAGGGTTCAAGTCCAACAGAAAAGGGCCCACAGATGAGGTCGCCTCCAACACACACAATATCCTACAGCCAGTCAGTCATAAGCACGGAGCAGAGTCCGCACACGGGTGTGAAGAGACGCCGCTCCTGCCCAGCGTGGTGCACACGCTGCCACCGGCTGCGCCCGCCCCGCCCCAGACACTCCAGCCTCGGCAGACGGTGCACGGGGACTCTGCACTGTTGCTCAAGTTCTGCACTAAGCCTGAAATTATTTCAAAACGGAGACAAAGCCACGATGGATTTACAAAAAAGAAAGTGTAAAAAAAAAAATGCATAAATGAACCACATTTGAATCTTATAAATGTTCACCTCCTTTAACCCAGTAAAACTGCACTAAAAGGAATCGAAACTGAGGAAATCGGCGAAGACTTAAACAAAAATTTGGGTTCAAGTATGCTATCATAATGCAACAATTCAGAATGGGGCGGAGGTGGCAGCAGCACGTGTGGGCACCGTTAAATCAATCACTTTACAGCCCACAGAGGCAAGGACAACTATTTCCCAGCCCGCAGAGCCGGTACAACACTGTCTACACCTGTAATCCCGCTCTGCTGCAGGGTAACTGGGAGACCCCGGAGAGGAGCAGAGGTGTGGTCACGGGAGAAACAAACACACTGGCCCTGCTTCGTTCTGAGGCTAGATATGGTTTGTATTTCTAATTTTACTGTCTAAAATATTTCATAATGATTTTAAAAACACAAAGACTATAGGTAACCTGACTCCACGGCTGAGAGGTTTGTAGGCTGTTCCTAACACCTTCCTGTATTTTCCCAGCGTTCCACAGCCAGCATGCATGACTTTTCTAACAGGGGAAGTGACGAGGGGGAGAAGGACGACTGGCTCATGCTCTACCAACACTAGGGCTCTTGTCTGTCTATAAACCACTGTAAGAGATGGAGGAAAACGTCAGACAGGCTGAGAAAGAAAACAGACCCAGGAAATCACCAAACAGGTGTCTGGTAACAGCAAAGGAGGAAAAAAAGAATTGATCCAGGGGGGAAGAATTAATAAATGGAGTGTGGAGGAATCACAGGTGAGAAAGAAGTGTTAGGAAAACACTGACACAGAAACTTACAACAGCAGGCACCTCCCCCCGCCCACGCAAGTGAACGCCCTCAGACTGCCCCACTCGGCCTCCAGGGGGCGCCAGGGCCCAGCCTCTGCACAGGCCAAGGAGAAGGCCCTGCAATAACCCAATTAACCAGGTGCAGTAGGCAAAGGGGTTCCCCTCAGCCTGTGAGCAGGCATCACACCAGCTCGTACCCAGGCCCCCACCTGCAGAGAGAGAACCGAATGTCACCTCCCAGAGTGAGCTAGGCAGGAAAAGTGGAAGGGACAGATCCAGCGTGTCCCCCTGCCCCTTGCCTCCAGGAAGGCACCTGCAGGACCAGGGAGGGAAATCCCACCTATGCGAGCCCTCATCCATGACCTGGGGCCAGTGCTCTGCGATGGGGAGGGAGGAAGAGCCGGACCCCAGGTCCCAGGCCGTGTCCCCAGGACCTGAAACTGAGAGCCACGAGTCAGTCAGTCACGAGTCGCTGGACCTGCTGTGGCACCGGAATGGAGCCTGTCAGCCACTGCCAGGCTAACAGGCCACGAACAGTGCCTCTACAAGGACCCAGCTCCCGCAGGGTGGCGGGTCCCACTCTAAGGAGGAAAGGAAGGGCTGCCTTGAGTCAGGCCCCTCTCACAGCGCAGCAAGCTGCTGGGAAGAGGTGTTGTATGACAGTGCAGGGACACGTTGTTCAGGTTTGCCCACCTGCAGTTACGTTCTTGGTAAAACCCAGTAGGCTTCGTTCGTTAGCATCTCGGGTTTCTATTAAAGTGCTGCTCATATCTGAGTACATACCTACCATCCTGTTTTACAGACGTTAGGTCCTCAGAAACCTGGGAGACACTCAGGAGAAAGACATCACCCCCTCGGACAAGGAACAAGCCAGCTCAAAGAGCGGTGCACAGTGTGGCCAACACCACGGCCAAGGAGTCCAGTGCTGCATGGACTCCTGCACCTGCCACACGCAGCCCATGGCCTGAGCTGCTTGCCAGGCTGTGCCAGAGCTGTGGGCAAGACCCAAGAAGGCCGCATGAGAACATTCTAGTTCTTGGTGAGCATCTTGCTCAGGACCACCCTGCAAGTGTGTGGCCAGGTTTGCACCTCCTGCCCCGGCCCCAAGCTGCTCATCATCAGTGATGTTCTGATGCCAACCAGGAGCTCAATCAACCAGTACTCACCATAGGCTGCCCAGGGTCTGAAAACTTCACTTTAATATCCTGCAGGTGCTTCAAGATCGGCTCATCATACTCCTGATTAACAAGAGAAAAAAACAAATTTCTAGTGGGCATTTCTCCAGACAACACACACGTTCCCCCTATGACTTGCTGTTGCATACACTCCCAGATGCTGGCTAAGCATGCCCTGCTGGCATTCTGGCCTCATCAAGTTAAGAACTCCCAGGAAGCCACCCACATCTGTGCACGGACACGCGGTCCTAGGGGCCGGCAACAAGGTGCCACTTCTCTCTGGCCTGGAGCATTGAGAAACATCAGCCAGGCAGGGAGGGCAAGAGCCCAGCTGTTTTCCCACGACTGCCCACTGCCGCTGCATACAGGGACCACCCAGGCCTGCTGGTCCTCATATCTCTGAAGAGAGAACCAGAAGAAACACCTCAGTCAGCTATGGGCCTTGTTGGCCAATTTCCTGCCCTCACATCTTCCCGCTTGTCCATTCACAGTAAGATGGTGAAGGGTCTTGAGTTTGTTCATAGGCTCCGTGGGGTGAGGCGGCAGACCTCAGGTAAGAAAATGACAAGTCGTGGCTCAGCTGCAGAGGTGCAGGCCTTCCCAGCAGCACCGCGGTAGAAGGTAGCAATGGAGGCTTCCAACAGTGAGATCCCCGCCCCAGGAGATCAAGAACACTCCTATGAGCTGTTGGTCACGCAAAGTGCCTTTCCATCCACCATGAACAACCGCTAAACTCTGAGTTAAATGGTTCATAAATAAATATTAAGACTAAGATCTCTCTGTAGGCTAGGAATTTGCTTACCTGGACTAATTCACTTAGCATATCTACATTTCTGAAGATGGTAAACCAGAACTCTGGAATTCCTCTGGGGTTTGGCTCCTCTCCTGTTGCTGCTTCTTTTTCTGCTAGGACTACTTTATTTTTCATGTCTCCCTAAAATAAATAAATAAATAAATAAAGATGCCAAAGAGAACGCTTACCACAAAGCAACACATTTACATTCAATGACTTAATGCAGAATGCAAGTTTCAGAATCCTGCACAAACTTCTATCAAGAACTGTGTTCCCTGCATCTGCATCTCCAAGACCACCATGTATGTCACACTTTTAAATGTTTCTAAGGAACAAAGCAATCAAAGCACTCCATTCAGACGTGACTCTGTGATATAATTTTAGAATTCTGAGTGCCATCGACCTTGGGGAAGGTGCCAAGTGCCAGCTCTATGAGACGTCCGTCTTGGGCCAGCCAGCCACCCAGCACCGGACGGAGACTCCAGTGCCCACGGCAACAAGGAACGTCGGCAGCGTGTACGTCCGATGGTAAGGAGGGGGCTATAAACATCCGGACAGAAACTGCACGCAGCCATCAGGGAGGTGACCCGACAGCACAGGCCACACGCAGAGGCGTCTCTCTCACACTGCGGCCCACGGAGGTCGAGCACGAGATGGAGCCAGTGCAAGTGCAAACACTTCATCACGGGGGATTCTTATGTGGAAATGATCAGAAGGGGCTTTTTAAATTAACAGAGGCAGATTGTTCTTGAGAAATAAGGAAGTGATTCACAACTAGATCCATCCATAACCACAGCCTCAACTGGGCCAGGTTCTACAATATGTTTGAAAGATCAAAAACATACGGTTACTACAACTAACATACACTTCGAATAAATTCCCTAAAAAGGAATCCTGATGGATAAAAAAAGGATAAAAGCTACTTGTCTTCCAAACAAACTTCAAGTGGACAAAGTTACCCTGCAGCATGTGGGGACTTTCTGTGGCACTAGAACGGGACCTGTTGAAGGCTGTGAGCAGGTGATGAGAGGCTCCCAATCCAAAGTGGCTGGGGGCACCGTGGCGATTTCATCGCCACTGCTGGTCCTGGAGGAGGGTGGCCCGGACGCCTACCACGCCCTCCTCACAACCCTAACCTCGCAGCGACTACCGACACAGGCGTCCCCTCCCCTGTGGGACCTCGCTTTGGTCTCGATAGAAGACTCTTCCTGACGGTTTCGTTTCTGTCCGTCCGATCCCACATCTCACTCTCCTATGGCATGGAGCTGCTTAGACCACTGAGCAGGGGGAGCGTGTCTGGGTCACAGAATTAACGGATACTGGACCTGCCTGCCGCTCAGGAGTCTGATGACAAAGAAATCGAAACGGCCAGCCCAAGGGGGAAACAGCACCTACTGTCAGGAGGTCCTTCCTTTGTGACGCTGTAAGAGACTCACTAGGTGAGAGCACCGCAACAGCACAAGCCGCTGTCGAGCGAACGCGGTACTCACAGCCAACTTCTCCTCCTCCCCGCTGTCGCTGTGCCACTCCGACTCTGCGTCTGTCGGCTCCACGTCCCCCGTGATGAACTCCCTTCTCTGAGTGAGAACGAGACCTTCTTAGAGTTAGGCCAAGTTAGTCAGAAGCTCAAGAGTTCAGTTTGTAAATGGTGTCTGTGAAAACCAATGCTTTTATAACTTGAGATTCTGCATTTTAGGGCTCGAAGGAGACCCGTTCAAGGACCCACCACTCCGTAAACATGGGAGTCTTACGTGAAGAAAGCTCTGAAACCACGCAGGCAACGCAGAGGGAGCTGCCCACCTTGTCGAAGAGGGGCTGGTACAGGGCGGCGTACTTCCTCTCCAGGTCGTGCACCTCCTCGTAGAACTTGGCTTCTATGTGGGCGCACCTCACCTGCAGCTGCTTCAGTGCGTTGATCCTTCTCTTCACGGCTTTTGGCAAACTGAAACAGGGAAGGAAAGGGAAAACATCCTTATGCCTGCAAAGTAAGGCAGCGTGCTTTTCAATCTTCTTAAAATAAATTCAGGCTACCAGAGAATTCACATCCTTACTACAGCAATGAGCTCCTAAACATCATTAGAAGGACGAACATCCCAACAAAAGGGGTGGGGGAGATGTTGACGGATAATCCACAAAGGAAAAAATACAAAGAATCAAACACGGAAAGAAGGTTCAATCCCACAAAATATCTGAAAGAAAGTTAATTTAAAAGAACTGCTGTCTGTTCCTTACCAAACTGGCAATTAAAAAGAACCTCCTGGGTTTGATTAAGCCCGAGGGCACAGAAGTCCTCTAACCAACTCATCCACCTCAAAGGCAAAGCAGAACCTGAATGTTCCGTGGGTCCAGCAACTCTACGTCTAAGAACTTATGCTAAAGAAATAACCAAATACTTATGTGCTGGTATGTCCACTGAGGCGTTATTTGTGAAAGTGGAAAACTGGAAATAATGACAAGTTGAACAGGATTAAAACACAGCCTGTCCGAAATCATGTTTTCAAAGAATATTCAGCACCAAGTGAAGGCTTCATGTTGATGCACTAAGGGAAATATCAGACACAATACAGACAAGTGGGGTCTGTTCCCTTCCAGGGTCAGGTAACTTTGAGCTTCTTTGCCTTTTGATACTTCTCTATATTCTTTTATTTTTTTAAGGATTTTATTTATTTTACAGAGAGAGTGAGTGAGGGAGGGAGGAGCAGGGGGAGCGGGACAAACAGACTCCGTGCTGAGCACAGAGCCGGACGCGGGGCTCAATCCCACAACCGTACGACCATGACCTGAGCTGAAATCAAGAGCTGGACGATCAACCCAGGCACCCCAGTACTTTTCTATATTCTAAAAATATTTTAGTTTGTAAGCATTACTTCTAATAAATCAGAAAAAACAAAACCCCTTTTAACCCATCAAAATTGTATGTTTAACATGAAGCCCTTGGTCACCATCTGCAACAAAGAGCAGATTTCTGGGCCTCATCACAGACCCATACAGCCCTCCCAGGCAGCGTCCACCTGGGCTGAGCCCTCGAGGTGGGGCTAGCAGTAGCCTGGGCACTCTACCCTTCCTGCAACAACTCATGGAGTCCTAGCTGCTCCTAGGCACAGCACTGTTTAGAAAGTACTGGAAGAGCCTTAAATAGAGCCTTAAATCACAAAGGACCCTGCCACCCTACCCACAGCTACCTCATGGTAAAGGTCCTTTACCAAGACTCCTAACTACAGTCCTGTCTCTAGGACTACTGCCGGCAGGAGAACAAGGAGGAAGCACAGTGAGGACCTAATGAAATGGCAGACATACAGAAACACCTGTATTTCTTTTCTGCATTAATCACACAATTACAATTGTCTTTTATCTTTCTGTATCTTCCTAATAGAGTAAAAATAACAAATGATTTTAAGCAAACTGGACCCTGATATCCTACAACCAGCTGTCCTCCTCCAATCAGTTACAGTAACTCCACACTGTCCCGCCAGCAGGCATTTACCAGGTAGTACGTCCAACATGGAACCGATTCTATTCCATGAAGCCTTGTTCCTAGCCCCGGCATTCCCTCTCCATGAAACCCACCCCACTCACCCGGAGTCTAGCCAGAAAACTAGAGACCATTATCATCCTCCACTCTCCCACTCCCAGGCAGTATCACTAGTCCACCAGCGGAGAGCCAGCAGGGAGCCAGCACCCTGCCCTGAGCATGGCCCGACGGCCCACCGACTAGGTAACCCCCCGCCCCCCACCGCACCTCCCACCACAGGCCTGCACCTCTACCACCTGCTGAGCCTAGGCGCTACTCTTTGGAATCCAGTGCCTGGTTCTCAGCACCCAAAGTCTGCTCAATGAGAAAGACACTTATTGCTAGTCTAAGGAACCAGGAAATCAGTCTTTTTTCCCTTTGTTTCTTAAAGTTGTACCGAGTCCCATGCACAGCATACTTACGTCTCAATGTAACTTGAAGGAGTGTGGGAGACATTGTCAAGCCGTTCCTGTAAAGCTGCCAAAACCTGAGGATTCTGCATCACCTGATCAGTGAGCTTTTCTATTAAGAGGTAAAAACAAGGTCAAAACATTTCAAATATCCCTGACACAGAACAGCCAAGGGTAGAAAATCAGCATGTATCTACCCAGCTATGTTAATTCACTTTAATTTCTAAATGTAGCAAGTGGCTTCTTAAGAACATGTTTTAAAAATACTTGAAATTTAGGGTGCCTGGGTGGCTCAGTTGTTAAGCGTCTGCCTTCGGCTCAGGTCATGATCCCAGGGTCCTGGGATCGAGTCCCGTATCGGGCTACCTGCTCGGCGGGAAGCCTGCTTCTCCCTCTCCCACTCCCCCTGCTTGTGTTCCTGCTCTCGCTGTCTCTGTCAAATAAATAAATAAAATCTTAAAAAAAAAAAAAAAAACAAACTTGAAATTTATTTCATTTTTTTAGATGGGGGGGTGGGCAGAGGGAGAGGAAGAGAGAATCTCAAGCAGACTCCCCGCCCAGCACAGAGCCTGACACGGGGCTCGATCACAGGACCCTGAGATCAAGACCTGAGCCAAAATCAAGAGTTGGACACTTAACCGACTAAGCCACCCAAGCACCCCCTCAAATGTACTTTAAAGGCATTTGACCCGCTGTTACCCAGCTGAGCAGGCGGTCAGAAATCCACTGGAGGGGGCGCCTGGGTGGCTCAGTCGGTTGGGCGGCTGCCTTCGGCTCAGGTCATGATCCCAGGGTCCTGGGATCGAGCCCCACGTCCGGCTCCCTGCTCGGCGGGGAGCCTGCTTCTCCCTCTCCCTCTGCCTGCCACTCTGCCTACTTGTGCTCTCTATCTCTCTGTCAAATAAATAAATAAAATCTAAAAAAAAAACAAAAACAAAAAAAGAAATCCACTGAAGGGCACCCAGCTAGTTCTGGTTCTTGCTTCAGCTGTTTAAGCCTCAAACCTCCCAAAGATGTCATCACCTCCCAGTGCAGGGTCCTATCTCCTGCCACCTCACCTTCTCTCCCCAAGACCTAAGGGGGCCCAGAAGCCAAGAACAGGGACAAGGAGACTGTCCCTCAGAGAACATCAGCGCTTTCTTGTGGCCTGGCTCACGTCCCAGGAAGCCCTATGTGCACCGGCTCCTGGGGCACCAGACACGCGTGCGTTCTCACCTCTACCTTCACCTCCACTGCCCTTCTGCCCAAACCGCCCCCACACCACACTTCCTCACTACCCCCTCCCAAAACTCACTGGCCTCCTCCCCCCACACTGCCCTGGTGGCTCACACACATCTGCACTGTTTCCCAATGAACAAACAAGACACTGAAGGGGAAGGAAGGTCTTTCACTCAACTATAACCAGGGAGTGGCCCAACAGAACACCTGCCCACAGCAGAGACTCCGTGTTTGCTAAAGTGACGCCGGCTCGCTCCCACTGGCCAGGAACCCTAATTTGGCACCCTCACCTGACTCCAAAGGTACCTGGAGCTCTGTCCACCTTTTTGTACGGAAGTCACAGGGGCAAGCAAAGGATATCAAGTAGACAACTCAATTTTAACATTTTAATTATAAACAACCACTAACATGAAGCACTGTGTGTATTTATCTATACGCTCACACCTACATACAACTGTGTATGTATACAATACGTATAAATACTACACCACACACAGACACACATCTCCTCTAGCTCTGGCCACCGGAAGGCCTAGAAACAATGACAGCTAGCATCTATATTCTGGTTTTTAAACATCTCCCCCTACTAAAAGGAACACGGCCCCTTGCAGAGATGGTAGACTCCAGGTCCAGAGCAAGAAAAGTTCAAGAAAAAATGTAGCTTAGCATCACAAAGCTATAAAGTGCTCAAAGCTCATGGGGACATAGCAAAAGGTCACAGAAGCCAGCCTGAAGAGACCGGCACTGGCCACGTGGGACAATTTGCACACCAAAAAGTACTGATGGTGCCTGACAAAACACTGAAGGAGTAACAATCTAGGAAAGTGCAGGAACCCTGCAGTGGGGGCTGGGAAAGCAGGGAGGGAAAGGCCATCTCTAACAGATGTAATACACAGAAGACTGCCAAACTTAGAAAAACGCCCTTGTGCAAACACTGATGTCACACCTGATTCTGCAAGGATCGTTATCACGACCCATGGAGAACAGGGTGTCCACAGGATGACCAACAGGTCACTTACTGAAGGGACCCTCACAACAGGGAAGGCTGCCAGACATGACCTTCACCGAGTCCTCAATCTCAGGATCCCCGGCCATGGCCCCAGCGTGCTCCCCCTGCAGCAGGTCACCCATGTGGCAGTCTGAATCTAATGGGAAGGAAACAACCTGACCAATCCAGAGCATGGCCTGCTTATTCTACAAGACAGCCGGGGAGCAGCCTGCAGATGTGTCATTACAGCAAAGAATAAAAAGGTGGGAGGACGGCTCTAGAAGAAAGGAGACAGAACTAGATTCGGGACATCACCCCTGGCTGGTCCTGGACCTGGATGTGGGCTACGGCTAAAAAGAGCAGCTGAGAACAGCAAGGAAACAGCAACACGACTATATACTAGCTAAGTGCCATGTCAACGCCGCATTTCTTGCTTGTGGTCACGGCACCAGGGTTAGGAAAATTCATCCTAGTTTTTAGGAAATTTACACGAAACTGTTTAGGAGAAGAGTCAGGATACCCACAACTTGCTTTCAAACAGTTTAAGGGGAAAAAAGTATAGTTATATAAATTTAAAAATGGAGGAAAAAATAACACATCTATGAACTGATGGACAAAATGATACGGAGCCTGGGGTTTGCTCCATAAGGATCAGGGAAGAAGGACACAGACGAAGACCGGTCGCTGGCTGAGCCATGGTGTACTGAGTGGCAGCCGGCACAAGGAGGCGCACTGTGCTAGTCATCCTACTTCTGGAAAGACTGATAAGTCTTTAGACCAAGTACCAATTTCCACTTGAATGCCTCTTAACTTCCCCAAACCTCTGAAGCACAGTAATCCTTCACTTGTATGACTTGTATTATCCCAAGAAATGGCTCAAGAGTGGAGGATGCTCTGCTCTGCACGCAAACTCCCCCACGCTTATCTTCCCACGGGTGGTGAACTGACCTGTGTTACTTGCATTTTTAGCAGCCTCCAAGGCATCTGAAGGAACACCATCTGAAAAACTAAGACAGTATGTTAAATAAGTATTACTATCAAGAAGTTCTAAAGACAAAGAGCACAAGGGCATTTTTCTTGTGTAACATATTAAGAGGCAGCTCTACAACGACTTCATATTTGGACAGAACTATGGACACATGGGTGTATCTACGAGATATGTTCCTGTTATTTAAAAAAAAAAAAAAACAAATACAAAAAAACACCACTTACCACTTACCACACCCCCACCCCCTGCCATGTCCCATAGTTCTAATTTCCAACCCTGGCCAAAGCTTCTTAGTTTTCATTTCTACAGTTTCTTTCCCCCCCAAAATCTGCTCCCCACCCTAAAACTGAACCCACTAGCCAACCAACATGCATGCTACACTTTGGCCGGCTGCTAAAGGGATCAAGGAAGTGCCACCTTACCAAGTATTTAGGACACAAGGCCCACTGTGGCTCTGTAAGCTCACCACACAGTCTCTACAAACGATTAAACTTCACAAAAACAGGTATATCGGTTTTCAAAGATGCCTGGACATGGCTTCCCTCACCAAAATTAAACCACGTCAAACACTACACAACATCAAACATAACCTTCAGGACGAGCCACAAAACAAAATCTTTCACTTGACCACCGGAAGCTACACAAGGTGAGGATAGTGTCAAGTCAATCACAGGACTTCACCTGGGAGGTATTAAGACCTGGAGAGCAACATGATCACTTCCCACAAGAGGTTTTTCAGTATCGATATTTGAGACACTTGCCATGTGTGAAGCCATCTCCTCATGGGCTCAAACACAGCAGCGGAGGGAGGAGCCTGCCAACCAGAGCTGCTAATGAATAGTCACTGACCAGTGGCCTGGCTCATGCTCATCAACTAAAACTTAAATCCCAATAAACAAAGTCCATTTTGGCTTACCTGTTATCTGCCATCTGAATGTTTTGATCTCCTACAAATTAAGAGAGTTGTAACAATTAACATTGCTAAATATTCACAAAGAACTTTCTAGGGTGCTTGTAGCAGTCAGTGGCTATCTATGGGGGATGAGGGTCTACCAGGAGGAGCAAGAGGGAACTTTCTGGGGTGATGGAAATGTTTTAGATCTTGAACGTGCCTGCTGGTTTCTTGGATACATATATTTGTCAAATTCATCAAATCTTACACTTAGGATCTATACATTTTAGTGCATGAACATTTTACTCATTAAAAAAAAAACAAACCCAAAAACTCTTTTTGGTGCTAAAACGACCAGAGTTCAGAGTAAGATTAATCAATTCTAATTTGCCTTCTCTCTCTAATAAGCTTCAGCAATAGGGACATATGTCTATGCTACTAAGCCAATTATTTATCTATTTGACAGAGGGAGACAGCGAGAGAGGGAACACAAGCAGGGGGAGTGGGAGAGGGAGAAGCAGGCTTCCCGCGGAGCAGGGAGTCTGATGCGGGGCTCGATCCCAGGACCCTGGGACCATGACCTGAGCCGCAGGTGGACGCTTAACGACTGAGCCACCCAGGCGCCCCTAGGCCAATTATTTTAGAACTATTCAAAGCATTTACTATTGCTTACACTGTATTTCACACTCTAAGTCACAGAAAGATTTTTATTTTATTCTTATTTTTATATTTATTTATTTTAAGATTTACTTATTTGACAGAGAGAGACTGAGAGAGCACAAGCAGGGGGAGTGGCGGGCAGAGGGAGAAGCAGGCTCCCTGCTGGGCAAGGAGCCCGATGTGGGACTCGATCCCAGGACCCTGAAATCATGACATGAGCCAAAGGCAGATGCCCCTAGTATTTTTTTTTAAGTAGGCTCCACACTCAGCATGGAGCTCAAGGCAGGGAGGGCTTGAACTCATGACCCCAAGATCAAGACCTAAGCTGAGACCAAGAGTCAGATGATTAACCAACTGAACCACCCAGGAGCCCCAGGAGGATTTTTAAATGTTACTGGTTTTGTATGTTCTATTACCAATACACTGAAGATGGTAACGCTTGTGTAAAAACATGATGTGACACACTCAGTACAACCCCACTTTTACAAGACACATACAACAAAGGATTATCTCCAAATTAGGTCATTTTCTACCTATAAACATTAAAGCTAGGTTAGGACATTTACTCCTTAAAAAGAACTTGGTATTAGTGAAATTTCAAAACCGTGACTCAATGCATAGCTGAAGAGAGGTGGTGATGCTCCTTCATCTCAGACGTAGTAAACACTCATCACAGCCTCTTCTCAAGAGCTATCCCAGGCCGACAACTTGTCAATGTTTTATTCTTAGGTATCTGAGCAAAGCTCAAACCCCTCCATCACATTGCTTCAGGGTGAAACAAAACAACAAAAACCTCTATATTTAAGAAAAATAGCTCCAACTGGTATTCATAGTCTGCAATTGTTTTGTATTTAACTCATCTGCGTTTTTCTTTGGTGACTCTGTTTTTGCAGATGAAGCCCAGAAGGAGAGAAACAAGGTAACAAATGCTCCAGTGGCTGTGGCCACCCTCCACCTCGCACGTCCGGTCAGTGAGGGCTCTAGAAATTCATCAATGGTCCCCATCACCTGCTGCTGAGTCCCAAGTCCCTCCACACAGAAACCTGAACCCCGAGCCTTTCTAGCCATCTACCCCAACACTGACTCCCAGGTCCCCACAGCCGCAGTATTCCCACGCTTCCCTTCCGCTCTCCCCGACACTCGATGAGACTTACAAGGCAGGGAAGACTTCACAATAACATCTGATGCCAACAGCCTAAGAGCTGACATCCGTACCTCCCAGTCACCAGCTGTGGAGTCCTGACGGCTTTCCCGACAGCACACCTTTGCTCGTGTCCACGCGAACATCTTCGTTTGTGCGCTGGCTGAGCCCCCAATTCCTTACTCACACAGCAAGAGGACGACTGCCACAGCAGGGTTGCCGGGTTACAGAGTATGGACGGACACCTGTTTCGCCGTGACACCAACTCTAATGTGCCTGCACCGTGTGACAGACACATCAGATAGCATCTCACATCGGCCACATGCACGCTAGCTGCTGGCAAGAGCCTGCTCTTCAGAAGCCACCGTCACGGCCAGTTCAGTGGACAGGCTCCGGCTTTCCCCCCTCATCGATAACACCCAATCAAGCCACACACCTGAGTCTAACACCTTCTTGACTAGCAAGGGCTCCGTGTGACAGGCACTCTCCCACATCTTCCACCCAACACCAACTCTGCCAGGGAGGCAATGTCCCCAGCGTATGGGAGAGGACACGAAGGCTGGTCAAGGCAAAACACTTGACCTAAGGTCATTTGCCTGCTATGATGTGGACTTGGGTTTCTGTGAACCTACGAGAAAGGAGACAGGCCGACGCAAGCTTGATGACCGGAAACAGAGCTGACTTGGGAAGAGCACAGGAAGTGTAATTCAGGAGCTACAGGTGAGTCTGTTGAAGGTTCAGGGTGGGGTGCTTTTCTGGCAGAGTATGAGAGGGGAAAATCTAGTTAGGAGCCACACGGCAAGTTCAACAGCTCAAAGGTGGGAAGAGATTCTCGGTGGACACTCACTGGCGGGAAACAGCTTCCATCTTCTGTCAATCAAGCGTTCATGGGAAATCGGCCCAACAGTCCTCAAGTCCGCTGTTTTGATGGCGCATGCGTGAGATTCTCCGCTTTACGTAGCCTTCAGTTCCATTTTAGGTTCAAATCCTCTCAGATCTGCCCCTCAGATCCACATCTTTCACAGAAGGCCACGTTGAACAACCGATCTGTCTGCCTGTCTGGTTTGGTCAGAAATGTCCGTAGCTGTGAGTGGACGGTGCCCCTCAGAACTAACTGCAGGGACATCCTCAGCTGTCTGTCCCTCATAGGAGGGAAACGGCAAGAGGGTATCACGCCTCACTTGAACAACAGTCAAGAAATGGGGAATCTCAGTCATGTGTCTCCCAGTTGAGCTTCAGGAGAATTCTTGGAGCGGAAAAGAACTCTAGTTTGTACATATGTCTGGGAGGATCACACCCAGGGCCAAAAGCCCAATTAACGGCTACTGGCTGGAAAACCTCCTCGACCAGTTTCCCCAGCTGCCCATATTTAATAAGCTGAAAAAGTCCCAGGTCCTGGGGGGCCTGGCTTATTTCAGATCACAGTTTGATATTACCTTTTGTTATTTTTCATTCTTGCATTATTTCCCCCAATTTGTTAACATAAAAACAGCATTCTTCCCCTCCCTGCTGTGTAGGGCGAAGGCGCAGGACCGCGGTTTTGAAGACTACTACTGCGATTGTCTAGCTGGACTTGTTGCTATTCAAAAGCTCTAACAGGAGCAGTAAAGGTTGTACCACAACCACAGATTCCAAGTTACCTTTACAAGTCCTGCGACCCAACCCAAGAAGGGAACAAGGCTCAGGCAAATCCCTATCTACTACAGGGATATTCGTGGACATCCACCCAAAGTGCTATCCATCCCTGTTACCATGTGCTATTTTAGGACAGTAGGAGAAAACCCCAGATTGGACACGGGCAGTAGGTGGAAGGGTTTTCCTGGTTTCAGCAGCAGGAATAAGGGCAACAACTTCACAGCATCCTTTGCAGGGGGAACGTGGAGTGTATGTTTCTGCCACATAGAAAGAAATAACTAGTGTTTTCTAAAAAGAGGACGCTAGGTAGACCCCTTTGCCCAGATTTTTTTCCCTGGAATGAAAGAGAGGACCTCATGATCAAAAACAGTCATTTACCCTGAAATACATAATACGTTATACGTTAATAAAAAGACAAAAAGTCATTCACACACAACACGCAGTAACTGGTGCTTTTAGCATCATGGAAGTGGTTGTAGGAATGTCTTCAATATATTTGGATTAACAAATGAGTCTGGTGGTTGTGGGTGAGATTCCACTAGAGATCTGGGGATCATCCAGGGAGAAGGTTATGTTGAACTAAGTTCCCAGCATTTGCTAGATTTCTGAGCAGCTCCCCACGAGGCTCCACTGAAGGGAAGCGCATCGCTCCCTGCTCCCAGCACCCTGTCACAGAGACACGTCTGTGGAGGAGACCCCGTGGTCTCGTAGACCCCAGTGGGGGTGTTCTCGTGATCAGGAGCCCTGCGCCCCTGGAGCCACAAGTGCTTACCGGGAGGCAGCCTCGACTTCTGCCGGTCCTGTCACTGTCTGTGAAACACAGAGAAAGGTCTTGGGTAGGTGCACAGACTCGGGTGAGGAGCACCCAACGGAAGGCTTTCATGTCTGGTGCCAATTTCCCAGAAGGGAGACTATGTACAGCTTCAAAGGCACCGGAGGAAAGCCCTGTTGTCTCTGCTAGAAAGCTTCTGCCATCCTTCCAAGGGTAATGGCCAGGCCACCAGCTGGGGCTTTAGTGTTAACTCCAGTGCAAATTCAACAATGAGTAGGGCTGGTGGAATCAAAAAGTGTTTGCAGAGTGGGAACAAAGGAGTGCGTTACCGGCAAACCAAGGAGTGGCAAGGAGGCCAGCAATGGGACAATTACAACTTTAGACAGCATGACTCAGTTGTTGAGCAACACCAAATTCCGTGAAGGGGGAGGTTCTACAGGCCTGGCCCCTGTATCTTGGGAAGGCTGTCTACTTCCAATGTCATGTATTTCAGTCCTTGAAAATTTCTAGCTTTACGCTACCAGTTGGGGGGCAGGTCCTCTCAGGTTTTGGGACCTTTTTAGATGGCACACATGAATCCAGGAGTCTGTCTCCGGGAACCTGATGGCACCAGGGTTCCTCAGTAACACCTGGTAGGTGCCCTTTCAACAAGGCTGGAGTGAAACTTTATGGAGATGTCTCTTCCAGCAGATTAACTCTCCTGGCTGTAAAGTGTGATGTCTGACGTCTTTTGTCTCTTGGGAGCTCGCTGTGGAAAGATTGCTCTACCCTACCACAGCGTGATTATTCTCAGTGGATTTAATTAGACCCTTGCAATACTCAAGTATGTACCAGTTTTTCAGTTGTG